GTTGAGCATTTAGGGCCGGGTGCAACTTCTGGAGTTCATCGAACAGAAGAAGCCCAACACCGGCAGATTGCGTGCGTCCACCAACCTTGGATTAACAAAGGGGCTTTAGTTGCGGTACCCAACCAGAACTGCTGTAGTGTGATTATTTCGGTGGCCTAATTTCAGGGGTTGGGGTAACTACGGTAGAACTTCCTTCTTCCTGAACCGGCGTTTGGGAGCTGGCAGCCGAATTGCATTTCGGGGCGGGAGCAAGTGCTTTGATTGAAACTGTCCTGGTCTCCTAACTCTAAACCCTGACAACCCTTATGAGTTCTTGCTCTTGAAGCCTTGTACACTCCTAGATCTCTTTCTATATCCCTGCATTTTTAGACCCCAAATGCTCTCCTCCGTATTCTGGAATGAGTAGAAGAGCTTACATCAGCTAACCCCAAACCTCGTAGCAGTGATACCCCGCTCACAAAGGCCGAAAGCCTAAACCAACCTATTTGAGACCGCCCCGCACCAACCAACCCCAAACCCTAGACATCCTCATGTATCCTTAATAATTGAATGCCCAAATAGTCCTAGTAGCATGTCCCCGTCTTACTTTAACATATGACTTTACATAACTCTATGTGTCCTTATTAGCATCTACATATCCCTGTATATCCCTGTTTTTTTCTGTCCCAAAACCCTACAAACCCTAAGCCCTAAACCCCAAACCCCAACCCCCGAACCCCTAAACACTTATCCCCAAGACCAGACCAGGTCTTGCCATAGATGACACGACGTTTCAGAAGTGTTCCGGTGGCATCCCGAGCCCCTCGGCAACCTCCTTTCCTTTTTTACCCAGACCCTCCTATGTAGTTCCTTTTTGGGTAGTATATTATAATCCCTTACCCAAAAACTATGACGAACCCAAAAAGGAACTACATTGGAGCCCTTGGGTAGTGATTGTTGCACGAAGGACCTGTTCATGAATGATTTTGCGCTCTGTAAAGTACCACCCAGTTTAGGGTTTGGAGTTTGGGGGGTTCAGGGCTCAGAGATTTAGGTTTCAGGGCATGGGATTACAGGGTTTGGGCTAGAAGTTAAAGAGTTAAGGTTCAGAACTTAGGGTTGAAGGTTTAGGGTTTAGGAGTAGGGTTTGGGGTTGGGTTTAGTAGGTTTCAAACAGTTTTTCTATTTTGGGGTCCAGTGAAGGGTCCAGGACGTGCAGGATCGATTTTCAGGTATTTCTGAAAGCAAAATTCAAGGATTGTGGTATGCACTAAGCACGGCACCATCTTTGCAACACACGAACCATTCGAGAACTGCCGTGGGCCGGTCCTCAATGACTATTTTAGGTTGGTCCTATACAGGAAAACCGCTATACACTCTAGGTACAGCCTTGTCACAATCTGTAGTTTGTCTTAGGTGCTACTTTACCTCCAAGGTCCGAGGACCCAAGAACTCTGTTTGTTGTTCTGTAGGGTCTAGAGTTGAGGGCACTGAATGCTGGTATCCCGATTCTCCGGCATTTGAAAGCATCATGTTTGGATAGGACAAAATCAACATGTCATTTGGATACTCAGAGGCTCGTCACAGTCCCCGCCCTTACGCCCCCCAGCCCTACATAAGGTCAAGGCTTCATTCGCACTCATTCTGAGTCTACTTGGGCCTTACTTACCTGGCATCAGCGGAGGGTAATATGGGATCCTAAGAGATACCTACAGTCTGTGCGCCGTTTCGAGTCGAGACAGTCTCCGCAGTAAGAGGTACTTGGCAAAATTGAGGTGTTTCAGATTTTAGAAAACCGCTGTAGGTTTTGATTGATCCCAACAAATCTCGTAATCAGAACCTAAGCCCTAAACCCTAAACCTAAACCCTGAACCCTAGACCTTATCCGAAATCCCTAAACTCCAATCCGGGAAGTGGAGGACTCTGGCCAAACACGCAGGACACAAGGGTTTGGGGTTTAGGGTTTTAAGGCTTTAGGGGTTTAGGGGTTTAGGGTTGTAGGGGTTTAGGGGTTTAGGGTTTAGGGTTGTAGGGTTTGAGGGTTTTTGGGGTTTAGTTTTTGGGTTTTAGGCTTTTAGGCGTTTAGGGTTTAGAGTTGTAGGGTGTTGGGGTCTTTGGGTTTTAGGGGTTTAGGTTTTGGGTTTTAGGGTTTTAGGGTTTTAGAGTTTTAGGGGTTTAGGTTTGGGGTTTTAGGGCTTTAGGGCGCAGGGTTTTAGGGTCTTAGGGTTTTGTGGTTTTAGGGATTTAGGTTTTGGGTTTTAGGGTTTTAGGGTGCAGGGTTTTAGGGTTTTAGGGTGCAAGGTTTTAGGGTTTAGGTTTTAAGGTTCATATAGGATTGAATTGAGGGTTCAGGGTTTCATTCAGTTTTGTCGAAGTCTTGTCTCTCAGTAACTCTTGACAGAAGATCCTGCTGTCTTCAGGCACTTCAGGTGAATTTTGAGGCTTAGATTTGGGGTTCAATGTTTGTATCCTGGCCCCAAGGTCCCTAAGCAAATCCTGCATTCCAAGCCTGAAGCCCCTTCAGAAACTCTACCTAAACCCTAAACCTTGGGTACTGCCCCGCAGTAACAGTTGGATAATATGATGACCTAAACCCCTAGACCTAAACCCTAAACCTGGAGGCGAAGCCAGCTTTTTGGATCTTCGGCCGCAGGTCCTTTGTGAGCCTGCTGCTAGAAGGGATGTGTTGGAAGAGCTACTAAGAAGATGATAGTGGTCCCCAGTCTTTTAGCTTGCGTTTCGGGTTTGAAGGTTTAGGATTGCAACGGGTCTGCAGTTCTTCGTGTTCTGCTTTCGCCGGGATGTGCCTGTGGCGGACCCTGCATGGATGTTTGCTGAGATGTCGAACCCTTAAAACCCTCAAACCTTCGTGTAGGTTCCGAAGCATCCTGCGGATTTGCTATAGTGTGGATGGCCACTTGAACATGCTGAAGCGGAAGCTTCGGATTCTAAACCCTAAACGCTAAACCCTCGATCTTAACTCCTTCACCCGAACCTCAAACTTTACAATTGACCCCCTATACCCTAAACCCTAAACCCCTAAACCCTATACATCCCTATAACCTCTAACCTGTTCAACCTTAGGGTACCGATGTAAACTGAACATCTGGGCATGTTCAGGAGAAGTTGACGTCCATCCGCCTATTTAAGGCATGGGACAAGGCGGCATAGCAAAGTTGTGTACCTGCTGGGGTTTCAAGTTAATGTTATGGGGTAATATTGGGGTAATATGGGGTTCCTATTGGGGGAATATTGGGGTTTCATGGGTCCGGGGGTTGAATGGTTTCGGGTGGCAGGGTTGTTGTGAGTTTTTGCGGGAATAAGGGTGGGGAAGACGACGTTGTTGGGTTCTTGTTTCAGCTATTTCAGGATTTGGGTCTCAGTTTGGGTTTCTGGCCCGAAGGATGCCAGGCCCTGCCAACGAGGGTCACCAATATAGAGCCGAAACCCCTTAAACCCTAAACCTATAGACCCTGATATACTCTGCTTTTTTTTGGTAGGGAAAGGGGCCCCTCATTTTTTTTACGAGCCCTGCTTTTTGCTGTGAAGCTTAACACTATCGAGTTGCATCCAAAGTAGGATGTGGGCTGAAAACGCAAGTGCCCCTGATCCTTCAGAAGCCGCTTCTTCGCATTACCGGCTTAATCACCAACGGAGCCTCAAGCAACGGACATTAATCGCCACCTCCATGCCACCACTTTGAGTCCAAATCTGCACTGACTGTTTGCATTTAGGACTGCTACGCTTTTCCTGCTGGCCTGGCGCAGCAGCCAGCATTGTCATGCTTTGAATCGCAGAGGTGCAACTTTGTAGGGCGTAATTGGACAATTTGAGAATCATACTGTGATAAGGTTTTGACTCAGTGCGGCACTTCCTGAACACCATGACCCTCAAGCCCCACGAGGCGGTCTTAGTCTTTGATGGCCGAAGCAGGGCGCGACGCAAGCTTATGATGGACAAGATCACCGGGCTCGGACGATTGGACAGAGGCGATGCTCACTTCCACGACGGCATTGCCAGACAAGGATCAAGACGGCACTGGCGTCCGAAGAGTGGTGCATTCAGAAGCCCTTCACGAGCGCTACATTGCCAAGCTGGGCTCAAGCCGTTCAATGATTTGTGGCGAAGGCAACACCGCCACTGTGCGCGAGCACCTGGAGTTGCCAAAGCCGCTGCCGATCGCCAAGCAGGAGACGGAGCCTCAGCTGTTCAAGCTGGACAGCGCAGCCGGCTGCACCCCTGTGTGATGTACACAATCAAAACGCCTGATGTGCTTAAATGTTGCTAGTGGTCAGCAGGTTCCTGAAAGCCATGGAACAAGAAGCCAAACCGCGAAGTACATCCCTGATCATTACACATCGCCTTGAGTACTACAGACTGAAACCCTAGACCCAAAAGACTAAATCCTCCACCATCAAAATCAATCCCTGAATCCGTATCCGCAGCTCCAACCCTCGCCGCAAACTTCCCCCATGTTTTTTTCATGTCTGCTGGCGCTATGCGAGATGCAGCCGATATTCAATGGTCGCTCTATCCCCCTCTCTTCTCTACTCTGCTTCGCCGGGGTTCTGAGGCAGGTAGAGGAAACATAAGCCTTAAAGCCCTAAGCCCTAAACCCTATATGACCCCTAAACCACGTAAACCATGTCAAGCCAACCATGTCAAACCCCAAAGGCCTAGACCCTATTCCTTCTTGAAGCCTTTAAGCCTAAATCGTAGATACTTTATAGAGCCCTAAATCCCGTAAAGCCAGTTCGGCCCTGAACCCGGAACGCTGCATTTCCACTCTGGTGATCTTTAACGGTTTGAATCATCAACAGAGCTGAAGCCTTAACCCAGAAGCCAGGAGATTCCCTAAAGCACGAAACCTTCAAAACGTTAACCCCTAACCCTCGGCCCCAAACCCTAAACCAGTCCTAGATGCTAGACCCTGAAGCCCTTAAGTCTAAACCCTAAGCCCCGAACCCTAGGCTCTGTAAACTATAACTTCAAAACCCTTGAGCGCGCCTTCGTTTCATCAGGCTTGGCCTGATGGAAGCCGAGAGGAGCCAGGGTTCAGGGTTTAGGGTTTAGGGTTTGGGGTTTAGGGTTAGTAGGGCTTAGGAGAGTTTAGGGTTTAGGAGGGGTAGTGTTTGGGTTTTAGGGTTGTAGAGTCGAGGGGTTAGGGGTGTAGGGTTGAGGATTGCAGATTGTAGAGTTTAGGGTTTAGGACTGTAGGTGCTACCTTGATTCCTGACGATTCACTTTAACGCTCAGCAGGGGATATACCTTCTAAAAAATCATGTATAGTCAGTTTCCTCCTTCCCTACTAGCCCTAAACCCTAAGCCCTAAACCCTAAACCCTAAACATAAACATATATATATATATGTGTATATGTATTCCGCTATTCCCTACTAGCCAACGTAAGTTTTCAAAGCTTGCAGGAGGCTTGGGAGCAGCTGCTGGATGCCGTGAAGAGCAACGGCGTCAAGGTCTGCCCTTGTTTAGGGTTTAGGGGTTTAGGGGTTTAGGGGTTTAGGGTTTAGGGTTCAGGGGTTTAGGGTTTAGGGTTTAGATCAACTTTAATTGGTTTAGGGTTTAGCAATTAGGAGAATATGGGGTTAAGGGTTCAGGGCTTAGGAATTACGAGTGGGGTTTATTGTTGAGGGTTGTAGAGTTTTGGACTTACGGTTGAGGGTTCCTGTTTTGGGGTAAGAGGAAATGGGAAAGGGGGCTTCTTCGCCATTGTCTGTTTCGATGTTGTGCCAACCTACCACACGGGAAGGACTAGGTACACCCAAACCCTAAACCCCAAACCGTAAACCCCAAACCCTAAACCCGCAACCCCAAACCCTAAACCCCAAACCCGAACTAGGCGCTTGAGATGTTGCAGCTCAAGGTCTGCCGCCGCGGGGGGCGGGAAGCAGACCACAAGAATTTCCCTGCCTCCAAAACTTCAGGACTTCCATAAAGGGGGCCATGTAAGGGTTTAGGTTTTAGGGGACCCTAAAACTTAAACCGCTAAAAGACTCCCATCAGCACTCCCGTCAAGGGGGCCCATATCACCAGAACCCAAAGATTCCCAGAGGCCACTCTAAGGCCCCAAGGCTTCCTGAGGCCCCAAGCGGTCTCCTCACGGCCCTTAGCCGTTTGAGGGGTTCGAAGGACCCGTAAGCATACATGTGAAGGCATTCACTCCTTATCCTAGATAGCTGCGGCAATATCAGCATGCCGCCAATGGATCCAGGCTTAGGGTTTATAGGGACTTTGGTTTTAGGGTTAAGGCGCTTTTTCATTGGTGGGAAAGCCTACCGCTACGAAGTAGTTGGGCAAACGCATATGTTGAGGTTTTTGAGCCCTCACCCCGCATTTCGTGGTGACCTGGTATCCAGAAATGCAGGTTCCTTAGACTTTGGTATTTGATGAATTCCCTAGAGAATTTCGTGTCTAGGGAGCTCCCCTGATCCCCCTCTTCTCCCCGAGGTGCTTGTGGGCACGCAGATCACCTGCGACGAGCAGGATGACGATCGGGACTGGCGACTCGTGAAGGCATGGCTTCAGGTGTAAGGTCGGTTTAGGGTTATAGTCCCCTTTGAGAGGATAGAATATGGCTTTGGGTATATTATTATAAGATCCCCATGTACCCCATATTCTATCTACTTAAGGGGGACTATAAGGGGTTGAGGGTGTAGGTTTTAGAAATAAGGGTTTTGGGTGTTTTTTTCTGATCTAGGGTTTGCGGCGTCCTGGAGCTCAACTACTTGAAGGCCCATGGCACTAAGCAATCAAACATAACGTACCCTGAACCCTAAAACCGATACCCTAAACCCTAAGCCTAACTACACTCAGAACCTGTGCATCCGTACATGGGACAGACAGGTGGCATTCGGATACAGTTCTAACTGGTTGCTAAGCACTCGTGTACTGAGTGGCTCCAAGTATCCGAAATAGCCCAAAGTAGGTATTATTCATTTATAGTCTAGGATGCCCAGGGTACCATGGTTCTCCAGAGTACCGTCGACTGTGAGACATATCATTAATATCCTTATACTTCTGAATCTTCTTCATGTCCCTGATATTTCAAATCGCCCTGCAGAGGAACTCCTTCAGAAGCTGGGCCGTGACCATGTCATGGGGGCTCTTGGTCAGCATAGCAGCTAATTTCTTCAAGCGCTGTTACAGTGTTTTGGGCTTTAGTGGGTTCCGTTTTAGGATTTTGAGGTTTAAGATTTCTGGTTTTGGGGTTCAGGGCTTGTTGCGTCAGATGATGTGCATAGACATGAGCCCAAGAAGCCCCATGCATTTGTCAGAATCCACGTCATGCGTGCCTTTATGGATAGCAAAAACTGCAACTCGAAGCCCTAGACACTACCTAAACCCTAAATAGTAGTTTCCATTTTCTTTTCCATTATCTCCATATAACCCCAACATTCTATCTACTTAAGGGGGACTATAAGCCATGAACCCTAAACCCTGAACCCTAAACCCTAAACCCTATAAGCTCTAAGCCATACACCTTTAAACCCCCCAAGCCCTAAACCCAAAGCCCTGATCCCTACTAAGCGCAAAGCCGAGGTTGCCGTGGGTAACGAGCTTGAGCTGCTGCAGTTCAAGATGCTTTGGCCGCAAGTTTCGCTTTCAACCTCCATTCCAGGCCTTTAGGGTATTATGGTTAAGGTTTAGGGTTTAGGGATTTAGGGGTTTAGGGTTTAGGGTTTCAACCTCCATTCCAGGCCTTTCCCAAAGGGTCCATGTAGGTATATGGGATATACTTGGGCCTTAAAGTAGGTATATGGGAACCCCCTTAGGCCCTAAGTATATACCATATACCTACATGGACCCTTTAGGTTTACATTCCTGGAGCATTCCAAGCCTACATTCTTGGAGTTTTCTTTGTCTTTATCCAAGGAAAGGCATCGACATGACCTGCGTGCGCCAGCCCCTTTGCCGATACAATCTGGATCCTAAAACCCTGCGAAAACCCAAATACTTGACCTTAAACATAAAGCTTGCCCGAAAGCAAAGGTTTCTAAATTTCTTTTTCCACCAAGGACACGAGGAATGTTGAAAGTCCGCACCAGTTCTGGGCTTGGGATGTTGGGTTGTGTGTTCTTGCTTCTGGGTGTCTCGGTCACAGGGTCGTCAATAGGGTTTAGTTATCAACTCAGGGCTTATGATTCATTGGGTTTATATTGCGATAATGGAAAACAGAATGGAAACTACTATATTATAATAGGGTATATATTGGTGTTATATTGGGGTTATGTAATAGTAATCATGCCAGAGTATCTAAGGACCGCCGAGAAGGTTTTGCTAGGCTGAGGTGTGAATGAGGGGGTCAATCCGAAGAGATATCAGTCTTTCAGCTTTGCACTCTTGAGTTGAGCGTAGACCACGGGGATCTCCGCAGGGCAGCATCTTCCGAACCTTGCATCTTAACTTCTCAGCTTCGGAAGCACTCGACAAGCTAGATTCTGGATCCTACTGCCTCTAAGCCCACCACCGTTTCAACCCTGCCCTCAAGTCAGAGTGCAACCTGTGCCCCCAAAACCCAAAACCCCAAACCTTACGCCCCAAGCCCTAGGTCTTGATTCAGCCTTGGCCCTGAGCTGCCTCTCCGTTCGAAAATCTAAGGTTTCAAGCATGGGACCTAGTAGAGGCCTTGAATTTTTGAGGGCCGAAACCCTAAACCCCTTGAACCTTGAAACCTGTTAAGGGTGTAGGCCCAGGAAACATGTTGGGCCCCCACGCTTTAACACTTTATTTCTCCAAGAAACCTGCAGCCCAAAATCCTGAAACCCAAAGCCCTGAATCCCTCCTGAAATCCTGAGCCCCAAACCCTGAAATCCAAAACTTTGGAATCCTAAGCCCCAAGTCCTGAAATCAGCAACCCCGAACCCAAACCTCAAACAAATGCAAAATCAGGCTCTGGAGCGGGGGTTACTTCTACCGAAAGCTCACGGAGAGCCCCGGCCCGCAGCGAAAGTTCCAGGGCGTGGGTCTGTGTTTGGAGCTTCAGTTTAAGGAGGGGGGTCGTGGTTTAGGGTTTTAGCATACGGTTTAGAGGTTTAGGGGTTCAGGGTTTACGGTTTGGGGTTTAGGGTTCAAGGCTTGGCACTAGGGTTCAGAGTTTAGGGTTTTAGGGTTCACGGTCTGGGACTTGGTATGTTGACTATACAAAGTCATATGTCATGGCATCCTTGCCATAGGCCTTGGAGTTGCCAGAAGTATCCTTGCATATAGAGTGGAAAGATATCGAGTCCCGTCATATGCCTGGGGCCCCATGCATGCCTCCAAATTTTGAGAAGTTCCCATCTCCATGCATACCTTGGAAAAGAGTTCTGCTTTCGGGTGCTGTTGTTGTCGTAGAACCCTGCCAGCCCTAGAAGGCCAGAAGACAAAGACGCCCAAGCCCAAATCCCCAAGCCCTAAACCCTAACCCTAAACCATAACCACAGTCCCTAAACCCTTGACCCCAGCCCCTAAACCCTAAATTCACACCACAATCCCTAAAGCCTAAACCCCAAACCCCTAACCCGCTAAACCCCTGACCCCCTAACCCCTCTAAGCCCCTAGCCCCCTAATCCCTTAAACCCCCGAACCCCCAAAGCCTAAACCGCCACGAGGAGAGCACAGGACCTGGACGGCATTGTGCCTTGCCAGCAGGTAAGGTTGTAAGGGTTGGGGCCCCCTCAAAGGGGATTTCCTAAAATTAGGGGTACCTTTAAAGGGGTTATAGGGGGTTATATAGGGTTAAGGGTTTAGGGTATATAAGGATCTACAGGGTTTTTTATCGGGTGAGGTTTGAAGTTTAGTTCTTAGGGTTCAGGAAGCTTAGGCATTGGGAGGTTTAGGGTTTAGGAAGTGTATAGGGTGTAGGGAAGTATAGGAAGTGTAGAGTAGAGGTAAGGGTTCAGGAAGATTAGGAAGATAAGGGTTTAGGAAGTCTGGGGTTTACGGTCATGTGACCCTGATGACGGTTTTTGATCGTAGGCAAGTCTGGGAGTGAAAAAGGGTAGGCTTTGCAGGGTTTCGGGATTTGTGGTTGGGGGCGGGTTGAGGCTTTGGAGTTTAGGGTTTAGGACCTGCGGTCCAGAGTTTGGGCTTGAGTTGCGGTCTACTACCCCTAACCCTAAACCCTAAGCCCTAAACCCTAAACCCTAAAGCATTTTAGTTCTGTCGGACCCGGAAGCTCGGTAGGAATGTTCACTGCCTATGTGGGTGGTTGTCAAAATTATGGTCCCTTATCGGATCCCTATTATAGTACGGGACCTAATATTTAGGGTACCCAAAAAGGGACCATAATTTTGACAACCACCCATGTACGGCTTGGGGGGGCGGCTTGGGGGTGAAACCCTAAACCCTGAACGCTCGCCTTGCATCTCATGACGCGACAGGTGCGAGGGGGATTGCAGTCATTGTAGGGTTTGGAGTTTTTGGCTTTAGGGTTTGGGGATCGCTTTTTGTTTGCAGGATTTCCTTCCAGTGCACGGCAGGTTTTGGTAGGGTACACATCGGCAGGGAGATTTGCATTTTTGCCCGCGTTGTATGTTTCCAGATGTACCCTTCGTCGGGTTTGGCACAGTCATCCTTAAAGGGGGGCAGTAATCTAGGGAATTGTTAATTTAATACAGGGGAGTATTACAGGGGTTATTTTGGGGAGTGCTACGAGTTTAGACTATAGCTGGCATGAACATGAAGCAAAGCAATAGCTTCTAAGAAGAAGCCCCCGACCTTCTCAAAGCCCTCACACTCAGGACTCTCTTGTGCCAAGACCTGGCAACACCTATAAACCCTAAACCCTAAACCCTAAGACCCTAAACCCTAAACCCTAAACCAAAAACCCTAATCCCCCCTAAACCCCAGACCCTACGCCCCAATCCCCCCTAAACCCTAGACCCTAAGACCCTAAACCCTAAACCCTATAAACCCTAAGCCCCTCGACCATGAACCCTGAAACTCCCCGACGCCCCCGCCGGATGTTTCGTGCTGTTTGAGCGAGGATGGCTTTTCTGACGTTCCGCTGAGCCCTGGCTCAGCAAGAACAGGGGTTTAGGGGTTTATGGGTTTAGGGTTTAGGGTTTATGGGGTTTAGGGTTTGGAGTTTAGGGTTTAGGGTTTAGGGTCTAGGCTTAGGGTTCTTTTCGGGCGGCTAGAAGGGAATGAAGGAATGGAAAAGGAGTCGGAGAATACTTGCGTGTAGATCTTAGGGTCCAGCATTGGAATGAAGGAATGGATCACTGGCAAGGTTATATTGTGACTGCCATAGGGATATGTTCCTCCATTATGGATCCTCATGGAAACCTGTGATTAATACACTCTTTTTAAGGGCCTCAATGCTAGGATCCCTATTATATTTCTTATTAAGAGGAGGATTAATCAGGGGTCTACATGACATGAAGGTTTAGAGATGTGGCATTCAGTTTTTTTGTTTTTTTCGACCAAGGGTCGGGTCATCAAAGGACTTCTTGAGATACATCTCGCTACAACTTGCGAACCGACAGTAGCGCTTCCCTGCCATCTTCTTTTCCATCCAATGAAGGACAACTGTAAGGACTCATGGCTGAAGGTCTAAGGTAGGCCCGTGATGAAGAAACCCCTCTTTTTAATATTAGGATCCCTTCTATGTAGTCTACATTAGAGAGAGAGGGTTAGAAGGCTCATGAAACACGGGTCTACATCAGCATCCAGTGCACCGCCTTGGTGTTTCACGGAGTGGGGAATGTTGCTTGTTACAGCTGGAGGCCTTGTTCCCAATTCAGCGATTCGACCCAACACCACAGAAAAAAATAAAAGCAGTTGGCAGACAGATGCTCAGGAGCTCGAAATGACGACCTAAATTCCCCAAACCACAAGACCCAGGACATCGGTCTTCGGTGGCTACATTCTCTCTGGCAGCCCCTTCGTAGAGGCAACGGGTAAGGGTTTACGGCCGAGGGAGTAGGAATTGCGCTTTATGGGGAAAAGGCCTTAGGGTTGAAGGGTTAGGGCTTAAGGATTTGGGTTTCGGGTTTATCGGGTTTAGGGCCTGGGCGTATAGGGTTGAAGGATTAGGGCTTCGGGGTAGAGGAGCTTAAGAGCATAATTAGGGGCTTAGGGGTTTCCTGATTCGGGTATATACTGTTTACTTATTAGGGGCTTGAGGATTTGGGAGACTGTCTTGTGCTGGAACTAAAGGTACCGTGGCAAATGCATACGATAGTCTAATGGGTAGTCCCCAAAATTAGGGTCCCATTTTGGAACCCTTAAATACTTATTAGGTGCCGTATTATAATTCATAAGCAAAAGGGGGCCACAATTTAGAGAATTACCCTAATGCCTAATACCAGCTTGCTTGCTTTCTTTCACAGACCCCGAAGCAGATTGCCCTATCGTTGGGATCAGGTGGTTTCATCCACGAAGGTATGCCCCTGCACACAAACACGCCGGGACACTTAAGTTATAGAAGCCTGCGCAAAGGGCTCTCCATTTGGGCTTCCTGCCATCCCAGCGTGTTCTCAAGTATTCTTAACTTTTTCTCCGGAACCCTAGTATAAAACCCAAAAGACCAAAGTTTTGACTACACACACTTCACAATCCGGCACGCAGCATCCCATGCTCAAACTTCCCACACGACACCCCGCATACCGTAAATCCAAAACGCAAGACCCAAATCATTGAAAGGAATCGTCATCAGATTTTAGACATACCCCGTCGTCTATGGAGCTTTCAAGACATCAGGGATCCCCTTTTTCGGACTCCCTTCAATAATGGTTACCACATCTTTGAGTGTAAAATGCCCAGATGCGAGACTCATAGCCACCTGTTTGGAGGAGGCTGGGGCAGCCTGCAACACACTCCTGAGACAGGCTGTTGAAAAATTCGGCACCTCGCCCTTATTCCGGCTTTTGGGGTTGCCTTGGGTTTAGGGTTAAGTGTAACCTTTCAGGGTTTAGGAATTACAGCTTTCAGGATGGTTGCGGGTTCTGGCGTGCCGCAATTTGAGCAGCTTATGGCTTGGGACTTTCCGGGTTGAGTTTTGGGGTTTGGATGTCTAGACGAAGGCCGAGGATTCTATATACTTGGGCCCTAAAGTAGTTCTATGGGAACCCCTTTGGGCGCTAAGTATATACTATATACCTACCCTAAACCCTACAACTACATGGACCCTGCATACCGCAGCATAGGCTTCGCGGTTTGGACTTCCGCGTTCAGGGTCTTTAGAGAGTTAGAGGCTGGCAGTTTAGGGTTTAGGATGTAGGCTTTGGATTTAGGGCTTCGGATTTAGGATTTAGGGTTGAGGGTTTAGGGTTTAAGGATTTAGGGTTTAGAGTTTAGGATCTAGGGTTGAGGGTTTAGGTTTTAGAATTTAGGGTTTAGGGCTTAGAATTTAGGATGTAGGGTTTAGGGTGTAGGGCAGTTCAGGCCTTGAGGCTAACATCAAGGTTTGGGTCAGGCACTGGTGAAATTAGCAGGGATTTGTATGAGGGAATGTCTTAGAAGGATGAATGCAGGAACCCTAAACCCCTAAATCCTAAACCGGGACTACTACAGGGGATCTCTTTCTCCACTCCCCTCAACCCTAAGCCCTAAACCCACCAGTAAGTTATGATGTTAGGGATTTCGCTTTGCAAGAGTAGGGCTTTCGGTCTAGGGTGGATGCGCGCTGCCGTTTAGGGTTTAGGGTTCCGAGGAAAACCAGACGAGGCAAACCGAGGGCGGCCGTCACGGCGCCCCAGGAGTTACCCTGAATGCTCAACCCTAAACAAACCCCTTGTGGGATACCAACAACACAGCGGCCCTAGGAAGAGGACCGCTCTTTGCAATCGGGACTCCTAGGGTTCCATGCTACCTTGAGAGCAAGGTAGCAAATTAGATTACCCTTGGGCTCTTAGGGTATAGAGTTTAGGCTTAGGGTCTAGGGCTAGGGTTTAGGGAAGAAAAGGGTTTAGGGGTTAGAGGATGGTAGTTTCCAGACAGAGGGGTACCCTAATAAAGACTCGGGGCTGTTCTTTACATGAAGTTTACTTTGACCTTGGCTTGTTGGATAGCTTTCATGGCCCAGTTTTTAGGATTTAGGCTTTAGTGTAGGGTTTTTCCCAGTGCCATTTCCTAAGGCAGCAAGGTCCTCAAAGAAGAGCCCAATACTCAGGAACACAAATCCTCAACCATTGCACTGCAAATCAGAAGCCCACATACCAACATGCTTGTCCAACTCCTTAGTTCAAAGATGTGATCCCGGTTCCTTACTTCTTGGCTCCGCTCTCATCCCCCAGCAGCGATCGCTTTTGATTCACTTAAAACCTTGTAATTGAAATTGTATCTTCTGATCTGAAAAGAAAGAGCAGTAAAATTTGAGCTGCTTCATGAGGGAGGGGTCTGGTGGACAGGGTGGTCCGTGGTTATAGGACTACATTGTAGGCAGGATGGTGAACATGCTGAAATGGTGTCCTTGCGTACAACAACCTAAATTTTCAGTCCTTCTCCATATACGCCCCTCTGCGTCCATTTTCGGGTTCCCAAAGCACCCCCCCCCCCTCGCCCCCCCCAAAACAAAAAGAGATTATGTGAACAAGGACTGACGCCATCCACCAACGCCCCCTCCACTGCGAAGCCATACATATTGCACCGCTGAATTTTAACCTCAGCAACACGCAGTACAGGTTCCCACCGAGGGCCCTATATTCGAGAATAGCCCAAGTTTCCTAGGTTGGGGCAGTTGTGGGCATGTAGGGTTTGTAGTGTCAACAGTGTAAACCCTGAACCCTATAACCTAACTTCAGTCCAAAGTCCAGAATGCCAAGTTGAGGCGATCGCTGGGTCTTTACCTTGAACATCTACCCCTACTTCGACACCTCCAATGCCCTGGATAAGGGCACCACGGACAAATGCACCAAGGCATCTGCAAGGATTCAACCCCGGCGTCCTGTGGGTTAGTAGTGGGGAACAGGGAATATGATATTGGGGATTATATTCCAGGACCCTCCTTGTACCCTTAATTGGGGATATATGGTCCCTAATAGTAGGTACTTAGGCCTTAATAGAGGGTAGGAGGAGGGTCTAGGTTCCCTTCTTCCCTACTAACCCTAATGCCCAGTAAACAGGCTTCCATCAAAAGACCATCACGACCGATAATCCCTCGAAGTTCCGAAAATGGCTTTCAGAGCTATGGGGAGGGTTCAAGGGCTACACATTTTGATTTTGGCTGAAGATTCAAGGGGTGGTCCTAAAAGGTCAGAAAGGTGGTGTTGTTGGCGAAGACGGCGTGGCTAAGGAAGGGCTTAGAGTTCTCATGCAGGTTTTAGAGGTTGCGGCTAGGAGCCGGCCGCACGTTTAGGGCTTACGGTTTAGCATTCATACAGCTCATAATTAGGCGGCACCATGACTTGAGGAAAACTCGACAAAGGATAGATCCCTGCAGCATGGCCATAGCTTGGTGGGTCTTTCTTGCAAAGGCCTACTGTGACGTTTCAAAAGGAATCAGCGTATGAATCCCCGTGATCCCTACACCCCAACCCCCCAAGCCCTAAAGCCAGGATACAAATTAATAATGTCATTCCACAAGTTTAAAAGCCCGTACCAGGCTGCCGGCATTAGACTTTGCCTAAGCCCTAAACCCCAAACCCGAAATCCCAAATCTATAGCCTCCACTGGGGGGAGGTGGTTTGAAGTTGGAAGCTGCTGTTAAGGGGACCCTGAAATTAAGGACCCAGTGTTTGCAGGGGTTCCATGGGCGGTACCCGCATCCTAATTCCTGTGTATATGAGCTGGGACGTAGCTCCTGGTAGTTGCGGCCTTTTGGTAGGACAAATGGCCAGATGCATGGCCCGGGACAATTATAGCAAAGACACTCGCTAGCACGCCAACTTGCGGCAAATTCAAGGCTCCAAATTTCCAGCACTTCTGCAGTCCAAAGCTTGACATGTTAGGTTAATTAGGGTTTAAGGTTTACGTTGCCCATCCTGATACCGTCTTGCGCGTAAAGGTCGGCGATCAATGATATCTGGGAGGTCTAGTTCAGGGTTTAAGGAGCTCCCTTATCCCTCTTGCGCACCCAGTATGAACTAAGGCTGACCTCTACGAGGGTTATAAAAAGTGCAGACCCCTCGAACAGGCCCTGGCCGCTGGAAGGACAAGCAAAGACCCGACCTTCGACTTCAAGAAGGGGTGGCTTCGCTTGCCCAATCAAGTCACCCGCGTGGCTTGCGTGGACGCCACACGCGCGCTCCGGCAGCTGGGTCAAGGACCAAGAGGCTGGCTCAGACTTTCTGGTCCGACGAAATTCGGACGACTTCCACATGTGGAAGCAACTTTTCAGCAGACCTGGAGTCAGCCTCTGGAAATCCTTCAAATCCCAAAGAGGGCGATGTGTTGCTGGCGTGCGGGGAACAGGTAGGCGGGTTTATGGCAGCTTGTGTTCGTGCGCGCGTCGCAAGATACGTTGGAGTCGAAGCCACGTCCAGTGCACACACGCTCCTCAGCCACAATGCTCGCAACGTGTTGCGCAAACTTGGCGCTTGGCACAGCGGAGACGCCGCAGGTCTCCTGGGAACAAACCCCTGATAGGCAAGATGTCGAAGCGCGACGTGGCTGCAGTGTGTGGGCCATTGAGCAAAGCCGCATTGCCGAGCTCGAGCCAAGGACAAGGTTCTCGAGCACGCGGCCATTGCAGACATCAACCACCTCCTCAAACCGATGGATGTCCTGCCTTTTGAATGTGGACGTAGAGGGCATGGAGCAGGCAGAGCTGCTGCACCACAGCCGGCTCCTGCCTGCCCTCACTTTTGAGCACGAACTCCTCAAGGAGAAGTGGAGCAAGGTCGAGAGCAGCCGACACCTAGATTTGATCCCACCGTCTTCGCGTGGTTGAAGGTAGCCATCCTTTGCAATGGGCTGCCTGCACTTGGCTTCACTGAATAAGCTAAGAGGCCCGACATGTTTGATGGTGCAGTGGTGTGATTTCTTGACTGCCATAGGGTTCGGGGTAGCCAAAATCCTCCATAAACCCTATATAAACACAGCTAACGCATTTTCACTGTCGGTTACAAGTCTGTTTCTCCGTTACTTGGGGCTTACCAATTAATTGCCTACATAACCTGAGCCCTAGACCCTAACCACCCCTAAGCCGTAAAACCCGAAAACCCCAACCTATATTCAAATATGAGCCCTATACAGCCCCTTTAAGATCTCCAAACCCCAAGTTCTGCTAGGCTACCAAGTCCTCGGTCTGTTTTGACGACGACTGCAACTTGCCGAAGATGGCCACCACCATGCGGCAGCGGATGCAGTGGCCCAGCGGTTCAGGGTTCAAGATTTGAGGCCGAGAGGTTGACGGCCTTCTTGCATGTTGGGAGGTATGCATTTACGGGGCGTAGAAGCTGGGGGCTTCAGGGACTTCGGGTTTTTGAGGTGCACTGGGCTTATAAGATCTGGAGTTTTTGGGCTACATCGACAAGAAATGATGAACTTTCCCTCTTTGTGGCTCAACCATTCATTCATACATGGTGAACTCCGGGGCTGGGCGGGAATTTTAAGGCCTTGAGCCTATGCTTTGAGGGCTCGGAGCTTCGGCATCGGAATTCGAGGTCTAGGTCTGAAGTCAGTAGGGTCATAGTCCCCCGTACGTACATAGAATATGGACTCCCCGGAAACCAAAGTAAGACCCCCATATACCCCATACTCGATCTTCTTAAGGGGTACTATAGACGTTATGCATCATTGCACTCCACTTACCTACACTTGAGTCCTGAGCCACGAGTACTTAGACATGATTTCTGCGTTGTAGGTAAGTGCAGTTATAGATAGACCTGCGTGGGGTACGGGGCGCACAACTTGCTTCTCTTTACTTGTGAGTAGTGTAGGCTAGTGTATGAGTGGCATTTTGGTGAGGACGCGATTGTCCCCAGCACAGAGCAAGATTGTATCTTCATTTAGGGCTACAGTACCAGGAGAAGAACTTAATGTAGTTTGGCTCAGCAGCTGCCAAAGAACATTATTCATATCAGGTCAAGACTGCGGCCCAATATGACGTTGTTGCAGAGCACTTGCCATGCAACATTGTCCACATTTTTGGGGGATAGTTGACCTAGAAAGAGCACGGTGTTCCGACATTGAAAGAATGTTTGTCAATTCACATGGTTCAAACTAAATCGCACGTGCTACACCTATCGTAGAAATCAAAAAATGCCCTCATAGGACGTCCCTGATCCTTTTTGATTCTTTATAATGGGCACCCCTATCCCTCAGAACCCTCCACAAATCGATCCCAGGAGTGGAGCCTTGGTCAACAGCGGCATCAGTTTTCCCAGCTTACAGAAGGCTTGCAGGACGTTACCTAAGATTATTTATCCTGGGGAAGATTTTGTCCTTGTCACCACAAGTTATCTGACCCTGCTGTTTCGTAACGTTCCCACCTATAGCTGATGCATGAGGCTCATGCTGTAAATTCCGAGCACACCCTGGACCCCCCAACCTCCCAACACGTAAGTCTAAACCCTTATTTCCCAGCTCTAAGCCATAAACTCTGAACCCTGTACCTTGAAACCTTAACCCTGTACCCTGAAACCTTACGTAACCCCTGACGCCTAAACATGCCTAGCCGTTTCATGAGGCTTCTAACGGGCACGACAACAAGCCTCCTTTGGATTGGCGAGACGGGCTGGAGTTCCCCTCAGGCAGCTGCGATCTCATTGTTCAGGCTTTAGGTTTCTGGAAGAATGGTAATAGGGTTTCCACTTTGGGGTTCACGCTACGTGTTTCCATTGTCTTTCTATTTGTAAGGGTCTAGAGTTTAGGGTCATAATGGAGAATCACATGGAAAGGAAAGTAAAACAAAAAATGACACGGAAACTGTGTTGAACGCACAAGAGGAAGTTAAAAGGGATCATTTCAGAAATGGGTTTGGGGTGCTTCCAGATACTCAAAGCCAATGCGAATACTTTTTTTTGGATGGTATCCCAAAAAAAAGCCCGGAACATGTAACTTCAAGCCTGTGATCCTGCGTCCTGCACAAATCTGCAACTTCCACCTGGCAAGTCGTACGAAATGAAGACTAGATTGCCCAACAAGTCATGAAGTCCCATGAAGTTCAAGTTCAATTCCCAATATAGTCAAGTTAACCCAATCTCCGCATGAAGCTCCGGTTTATCAGCTAGAGTTTAAACTCCTTAACGTGGACTATATAGAACGTATCGTAGGGGTTATTAATGGGGATACCTGGAGTTTTTATTATGGATCATACAACTGGATTTAAACATTCCTACTTAGCAAACCCAAAAGTTGACAAAAAATCCAGTTTCCCACAAAACTGGGTTTTACACCGAAATGGCGGAAACCTCTGGTTCTTTAAATTTTGGACAAATAGGTGTTGATTTCCAACTCTAGCGAGATGGAGGTTTTATGTATGCCTGGGACTCTGCTGATGGGGCTTTTGCTTTTGTGTAATGGCTTGGCGGTTTTTGGTTCTGATCAGTTCCCATGCTGTGGGAGATTGGTATGTGGGTGTTGTTGCCGCCAACAAGCGCGGAAACCTTTATCGTGCAATTCATGCATGGTTGTGCACACGTCTGGCAGAATGCAAAACACCTGCTCCATGGGCTCAGGAGCAGTCTGGTTTCAGTTTTCGAAATTCCACTTTTCGAGCCCGCCATTGTTTTGAGATGACACTGTTGCATGTCGGGGCGCGAAAAACAATGGCGGAAATCGGCGTCGAAATGGCAGAAATCGGCGTCGAAATGGCAGAAAAAAAACAGAATAACATTTTTTTGGGAACGTCGAAATTACCTTTTTTACCTGAAACGTGGAATTACGACGTTACAGTTTTTAGCGTGTTCATTCAGAAGTTGCTTCCCACTTCTGCATTCCTGGCATCTAGCAATGATAAGTGTTCACAAGGTTTCACGGTGCACAGTTTGGCCTCCTCAGTGGACTTCCTGATACTTGCCTGGAACTAATGGCAGTTCTCTAGAGGCAAATTACTAAGCTTTTGGACTTTGAAAAGTTACACTTTTCCAATTCCCAGGTTTCAGGTTTTCAGGCTGCTCCTAGCTGAACAATGACACTTTTGAATCTTTTACTTCATCCTCCTATTTGCGCAGCGTTACGCTTTTAGTGTGAGATTGCAGAAATGTCCAGCATTCGGGCAAATGATATTTTTTTGCAAAAGGGTTTGCAAGGTATGGTCCACCCAAACCTTAAACTGTAGGGAGACATGGCTTTGTTGTTGTCACAAGGCGGAGACATTGGCGGGCTCGAACAAGCAGATGGCTGCTTGCTCCCTGGCCGCCCAAGTAGGGTTTAGGGCTAAGGATTTAGGGCCTTATATACTTCGTTGGGTCAGGCTTGTACCCTAAGGCTGATGTAATCTACAGCCTTATGACAAACATGCACTACAAGTGTTTTCCCCTGGTAGGGCAGTCGTAGCCATATCGTCTTTTATAGGCAGGTTCCCTAGCCCGTTCGTAGCAGAGAGTGGGCTGAGCCCACCCAAAGATCGTGCTTTAAACCTACATCCTAAATCCGATAAGCCTTGAATCCCATTAACCCTAGACCCCAATGGCCCTGAACCCAGTACAACTTAAAATCCCCAATCCCCAAAGCCTCCTGATTGTGAATTGAGGTCCTGCCTTCTCCAGCATTTCTTCCTTCCGCTTCTGGGCTCTTTTTCGATCTCTAGTTTTAGTTTAGGGGCCTCGAGCTTAGGGTTTAGGATCGAAGGGTCTGAGTTAACAGTTTAGGGTTTATCGGATTTATGGCCACGGGACTTTCGGGTTTAGGGTTAGGGCCTCAGGGCTTAGGGGATTAAGCATTTCGGGGTGCATGGATGAAGGTGCATAAGCGGACTGCCAGAATTCGCTTCTGTCATCTTAAGCTGCAGAGAAGCGCCGGCAGGTATCGCGTTGGAGTTGCTCTGCGCGCCGCGTAGGTTAGGAACTTGCCGTCTCTTTAGGCCTGTTAAAGCCTCCCAACTTGAAATCAATGCACAAGCCAAAAAAAGCTAAAACAAACAAAGCAAACCCAGTCCCTAGACCCTGCACCCTACTCTTTCACCCCGAAACCCTCACATGAGAGTTTCTCAACAGTATTTCTGCAAAATCCTTAAAAACTGTTCTAGTCCCCAGGTATGCCTTTGAGAAATGCCCAAAGTGACCAGGTAAGTTCTACACCAGCTTCCTGAAATGGGACCTCAGCATATCCACCGCGGATGGGCCGGACTGGGCGGATGGATGGGGCCCTAAACCCTAAACCCCAACGTGTTGTAGGGTTTGAACCTGGGGTTATTCCATTCTAGTCGTAGATTTTTCACGGGAGATGCATGTACTCCAGACTTTTAGAAGGTGGATGGAGGCTTTGCAGCAGATGGCTTTGGTGGGCTTAGAGAAAGGGTTAGGCTAGGTTTGACACCCAGGTCGAAGCAGACTGTCCGGGCATGCGACGTGAAAAGCCTCCAAAAACAACATATCTTTGACTAGGAAGCAGAATGTGCCCCAGGCTATGTGGGATACACAAACAAAGACAATCACTGCCCTCGTCTTTGGTTGAGATTCCTACACGCCAGGGGACCCATCACAAATGAAGACCCCCTCACAACCCCTTAGGTAGCTAGAATATGACTTTGGGTATATTATGATAAGGTCCCATATACCCCATATTCTATCTACTTAAGGGGGACTATACATCTTTGA